TATATATATATATATATATATATATATATATATATATATAAATGATGTATACAAAAGAAAAAATATTTTTAAGAAAATCTGGTCATTACAATATTTTGCCACTGTACATATGCATAGCTCAGCAAACATTAAATATGGAAAAAACACACATCTTCGATTGTGAAAACTGCTTTACATAACCTGCATCACAAGGTGGTGCTATTGAGCTACAAACACGTGTACTCTGAAAAGCAGAAAGTTAAATCCAGTTATACAATTGTTTTGTCAATATTAATCCATTAAAGCAGATGATGCATTTAAAATACAAGAACTAGAGTGAACACATGATGCATCCTCCCTCCCTCTCAGGAACTTTACTCCAGTCCCTACAATCTGAAAGTTAGAGAAAGGCCACATGTACTTTGTCATTTGATTTTTAATACATTAAGATAAAAGGAGAATTTCAAAAGCCCAGGAACTACAGGATTCCCTCCCTTTGGGCACTGTGAAAGAAAATGCAATAAGTACTGAAGCTCTGACAGGGAGCAAAGGGGAAGCAAGGGACAGTGCAAATCTATCCTGCTTTCAGATACAATCTGACAATTATTACTAGCCTGTCCTTTAGTACAAGAACTGCAAAAAGTTTCTTCACCATAGAAACTGGGAATGTGCACATGTAGCTTAAAAAGATACCAGATTTAATCCTAATGCACAGTCATTACTTAGAAGTTAGATACACTAGTTCTGCAGATGTGACTAGTACTTCCATGTTACTACCAAAGCAACAGTCAAGGAATACTTCAGAGTGCAGCAGAATCTACTTCACCATCCTTCTGGTACATATCTGAGAGGACCAAAGGATCATATTCTATACTATAGTACACTTTTCAGTGACCTTTGCTTTAAAAAACCCCCAAACACTCTCTAGTGGTCTCTCTACCTGGCACATGTGGACTTGAAGTAGTTTACTTCTATGAATACATCTCCTATGAATTTGTAACTGTACAACTAAGGTTTACTGCTGGCTGCTTTCTTGCTTTTAATACTTTGCTGTGCCCAATATTAATTACTGTCCCTATAGAGTAGCAATTTATTTTGACCACACTGACAAAAGGCAATACTGTAAGCAAAAATTCAAATTCAAATTAAGACAGAAAGGTAGAACTTGGCTTAACATGAACCAGTATATGGGAACATCTGTGATAGAAGATAATCACATCATTCATATTAATTAAACATTCTACTTAACCATCTACAACCAATCTTGGTTGTTTCACAAACTGTGCAAGACAGCATGGTAAGATAATAGTGATACATGCACATAAACCAGAAAAACGTGCACACAAAAGTGAGACAGAGGGCATTGCAGCCATACGATGAAGGAGATCAAAATACAGAGGTTCCAACAGGTAGGAGGGGCCTGTGTACATCACCTAGCAAGTAAGAAAGGCTATTGTATGGATCTGAATGTTCAGTTAGTCTACATGCGCTCCAGGTCATCATGAGTTTACAACTCGGTCCTCATCAAAGGGGCTCTGCCCTCAATCCAGCTGATTTCAGATACTTCATTACAAAAAATTAATGTTCAAAATGGACATTTTGGAAAGGGATGAAAATGTGTTTTATTTCAACTGTGTATTATATATACTGGTAATATCAAAAAGAGTTGCCTGAGTTGGTACCAAGTGTGCAAGTGGGGTGTGTTAAAATTCTAGCTGTCCACTTGAGAAAAGCAGAATGGATTTTCAGTTCCTATATGGAAAAAAAAAATCAGTTCCAATTTCTACAAGAAAAAAAAATGGTAAGGCAAAACCCAAACCTAAAGAACAGAGAACTCTAAAAGAGCAATATGACTCACAGGATTATATGGAGTTCGGAGTCTTCCATGAGACACTGTATGGAAAATTAACATCTTTTTGAGACCATACACTTCAACTAGAAAGCATGAACAATGCCAGACCAACTCAACAAAAGGTAAAAGGATATCAATGAAAGATATATTCCTGAGCACTTTCAAAAAAATTGTCTTTGTATGATAATATGTAATTACAAATCAAACAATACTTCTACTAAAAAGGGAAAACTCTTATCCTTCCCATTTAGCAACCGAGTTTAATAGTAACCAGAGTCGATAATTAGCCTCATTATTGTTGTAGATAAAAGAAGTGATATGCACCTGTAGTTTTCCAGCACTCTACACTGTCAAGTGTGTCGAGATCTGTATAAAATTTACACTGTCAGGTCGACATTACTTAGAGGCAAACAGTTGAATTAGTTTTGAAATGCTGGTTAGACAGTTAGTTACCGTTACTTTAGGCAGCTGGTTGCATCTATAGCAGCACAATTATAAGCTGCAAACTATACAATAGTTTTAACATTTACTGTTTCATCAATTTAACTAATATTAAAGTGGTCCAGAATCCCCCAAATGATCAAGATAATAAAAATTCAGGAGGTAGTGGGCAAAGGTATCTTTAAAGATCTACCTCTGCATTACCTAAATTTAGCTGCTATTTTGTGTACGGTGAGCAAACTTGTTTTATGGGAGTTTGTACATGAGCTATGACAGTCACAACAGTCAAAGCGCTGAAGTGCACATACATCCCAGCATGTGTCCTTTCATGTAAACAAATGCTCTGTCTACACCACTGAAAAATCATGGTATATTGGGGTGATACTCAACAAGGCACAGTGGACTAGCTTGATGGCAATATTACATGGGCATTGCAACACAAAGCAAGTGTTCCACACCCAATCTGTTGATACAATTAGTTCATTATTGTATTATTGTCGATTATATTCAGCTTATTCTTGACAAATGTTATTTTCTAAAGCATGCCCATCTGAGGCCTTAACTATAATTTGTAATGGGGATTAAACAGAATACCTGTCTATCTCAAATATAAAATGTTGGCAAAGCACACGGATTCCATGAGAAAGTTGACACAAACATTAACATGTACGAATGTATAAAGCGAATATCAAGCAAAAGTCTGTTGATACAGCTCACGCAGGAGGCACAGGAACTGCAAGCAGGTTAGCCTCGTCTCTTCCACTCAGAGCTCTCACTTTGCTGCAGGATTCTTGGGAGGCTGCAGTTTGTATGTGTTAAAGTAGTTCACCACTTGCTGAGGCACTTCTGCCAGTACACACTGAGCCAGAGCTTCTTTTGGAGCCTTTTTAAAGAGATCATTGTACTTCAGTTTTAACCAACAGTTAGGGGAGACCTTACATTTTAGTCACTGTCTCTTTTTGGAAAATACAACAAGCTATATTTCTCAGCAGAATATGCTATACCAGGGTTTGTCAACTGGGGGTATGTGTACCCCTGGGTGTTCTTGGGAAGGCCCCAAGGGGCATGCGGCAGCAGCGCGGAGAAATGGGGGTATGTGGGAAGCTGCAGTGCAGGGTCGCCACCACCATCCATCACTCTGCATTGGCGCCGTGCGCTGCTGCTCCACACCCAAGTACCCCCACTTCTCCATGCCTCCGGTTTCACATCTGGCTGGCTAGCTGGCTAAGGGGTGGGGGAGTTTGCCAATGGCCAGCTGGATGTGAAGCCAGCAGCGCAGAGAAGCAGGAGGTACCCAGAAAGTTGCAGTGAGGGGGCGGGGCCTCCACCACCATCCATCACTCCATGGTGCCACATGCCACTTTCCTGCGCCCAAATATCCCCGTTTTTCCACACTGCCAGCTTCATGTCCAGCTGGCTGTCAGCACCCCCTCCCCACTCAGTGCAAGGCGGCAGTGCAGAGAGCTTGCACACAGCTGCTGTCCCCGCCACCATCTATACACTCAGTGCCACCACTGCATGGGGGATGGGGTGCTGAAGGCCGGCCACACGAGAACCTGTTGGCACAGATAAGCACGAATACTTGGATGCAGGAAACCAGCACCTGGTGGCAGCACGGAATAATGGATGGCAGCAGCAGCTCTGTCCCCCACGGCATCACTTCCCAGGTACCCCTGCTTCTCTGCGTTGCCAGTTTCACAGCCAGCTGTTTGGGGAGCGGGGGGAGGGTGCTGACGGCTGGCAAGACACAAAGTGTATAGATGGTGGCAGTGACCCTGGCTTCACGTCTGGCCGTCAGCAGCCCCCCTACCACCCGGAAGGGGAACGCTGCTTAAAAAAGTTTGAAAACCCCTGTGCTATACTACTGTAATACTAGACAGATTTCTGTGAATTAGCTGATTGTTTTCCTGAATCTCAGGAGCACAGCCATCCCTTAGGGGGGAGGGGGAGGGGAATTGTGGGTCTGTTTGCCTCCCATGCTTTGGGGGGCCCCCTGCAGAGATTGGCAGACAGTGCCATTGGCAAGTGCCAAGGGCACCGCTGTGCACCGATAGCTTTGCATTCTGTCTCTTCGCCACCCCTCCACTCGCTATCCCACCCCAAACCCTGCTCCAGCCACGTTGATATGCCCCAGGCCCCATACACCCCTAGGGTCAGCTCTAGTCAGGGATGGTAGCATTTGTGTATTGTTAGCCCTTCCTAAGGTGTTCTCAAATTCATCAAAATACAATATGCGTGCCCAAGCATGATATTTTTAGTCATGTCTGTTGTACAAGGTCAAAATAACAAGTATAAACCAACCTGAGATGTTCCACCCATATCACAAACTCTTACCTATATTAAACTACTTTATTTGTTTTTTAGAGGAATTTCTTCAGGGGATAGCTGTTTATATTTGAAGATCAAACCTTTGACACAATACAACTGGCATCCTAGCAACTGAAAGCCATACTTGACCAGAACCAGTTCTTCAATGAATAATCAATACTATAATAGACTAACTGGTTAGTTAATCTACAACCAAGGGTGGCATATTAAGCATGCTTTATGTAAGGACTACGCTCTGCCCCCACACTAATTTGTCCAAACGAAACAGTGGCAATCAAAGAAAAGGCTTATATTAAAATTATTTTTAGCAGGAGGGGGAGGAGACCAGGGTACAGAATGTACAAAACAAGACTATGCAAGACAGAGATGAGACTGTATCTAAGAATTTTCTGATTGCTCTTGCCCCCTTTCCCCCTTTTTCTGCTAGACATGTCAGGGTGTTTTTAAGCCAGAGGCACTGGGTGTTGGCTACAGCTAAGGTTGAGGACTTCAACTGGGGTGTGCTGATTCTTCTGCTAGGAGCAAAGCCAGAGGTTCTTGGCTACAGGGTCTTGCCCTTCCACTTAGGGTCAGACTGATATCCACTCAGGGCCATATCTGGGGTCAGGAAGGAATTTTACTTCATGATCAGATTGGTATGGACTGTGTGGGTTTTTGTTTTCCTCTGTAAGTGGGGAACATAGGCCTTTACCCAGGACCTCTTGGACATAAATTTACAATGTTTTATAGAAGCAGGACATTGAATGCTGTGGCCCTACTGCTGTACCTGTGGTAGGTTGGGGTGTTAGGTCTATGTTGCATCAGGGTTGAAGGTAATCATACACAGAGTTTAGATTGTGGTTGTATGGGATGGTCTGGATAGGGTTGATCCTGCCTGAGGCACAGGGTTGGACTAGATGACCTCTGGAGGTCCCTTCTAGCTCTACTTCTCTGACTCTGTGACTGAGAATGTACCTGGAATGCTGAACTGCTTTATCAGGATAAACGTCCCACAAATCCAGGATTTTTAAACTAATTTTTAATTTTGGCAAGGTCGTAAAATACAAACAGACTATGTGACATACTGGGAGAGGCATGCATATAGTTGAATTCCTTTCGAGTTAAGCAGCAAGTTGAGCTATTCCTACAAGTTTTCTGTGTTCTGGCTTATTTGTATTAATAAAACTGTAATACTATTTTCTCCCCTTCACACAATGATTTTATCAAATAATCCAATGCATGCACACTAGGTTTGGTTCAAATAAACACTCAGGCAATGCCACTGATTTCAAAGAAAATATTCCTACAGAGGGACAGAATGATGAAAATTTACGCCTTCCAAGGAAGGCAGTATTTAATTGTGTTGAATTGTATTCGATTGTGTTCAATTAATGTGCCATACAAATTTGTAAGTGCCACTCCCCTGCAAATATTGGTTACAAAATATATTTTGTGAAAGCCAAGACTAGGTCATCTTTTTACTACAGCTAAGTTAATTTACTGTGAATTCTATAGATGGGCTAGAAGATGCACATTTCTTTTAAGATACTAATACAGAATTACCTTGCTTTCTGCTGAGGTATGAATAGGCTCCATGACTCACCCCAACAACACTGCATGGATCAGGCCAGAGTGAAAGCAAGGCTGCCTGTATCTAGATACTCAAATCTAACGTACTTCCCTAGTATTTATTCAGGACATAATTAGTTACATAAGTACTTACGTTCTGGAACTTCCTAAATGGAACAAATTGGACAATGTCTCTGATAGCCGGCTCTCCTGATGGAGACCTGAGACTTCCGTTGTCACCATCAAGAAACTCCATGGCACTGAAGTCAGCTCCTCCAACACCAACAATGATGATGGACATTGGAAGCTTTGAAGCATTTACTATGGCAGTTCTAGTTGCATCAAGGTCTGTTATCACACCATCCGTTATGATAAGGAGCACAAAATATTGCTGTCAAACCAACACAACAGAGATCAACTGAAGAATAAATGCATCTTGGGTGTTACAGATTTACATGCAACATCTGCAATACTACAACCCCACTACTCAGATTTACTGTACATAGAGTCATTACTTTCAACACATAAAGGTAAGTCACTAACCACCAAAAACAAACTGCTAACTTTAGTTTTGACACTTGACAGAAGTGGAGTTTACAATAAGGAGCCTAAAGTCCAAGTAGCCTCCTTATCAAGCAATTCCCAAAATTTCAAGTACAGAAATGTTCAGTGACTGGAGTTTTTCCTGACACCTCTGGCAAAGGTTGAAAATTAATTTTACAGAATACTACGGTTGACAAGTCAGTCAACTGACCGGTCAAATTTTGTTACATGACCAGTCTGTTGATTGCATATTTTTTTGACTGGTCAGAGATTATAGCAATTTTATAGGGAGTGAATGTTTTTGCAGTTTTCTTGATAAATATGATTTTTTACTGTTTTTGACACACCTCTTCATGGAAAATTTGTGCTTTTTCTGTGTATTATTTGACAGCATAGGCAATTTGTTTTACAATTTTTGACCAAACTTTGACTGGTCAAATACCCTACCCTTCAGAATACCTTTCTTTTTGGTCCTCTTTGAAAGGATACCTTCGAGAAAAGTGCCTTCATGTTAAACCTCAGCACAGTTTGGGATGACTAACCAAAAGAGCACTAAGGAAAAACAGAAGACTCTCCTCTATGTTACACCAGGGGTGCTCAAACACTCATGGGTTGGATCTGGCCCCCAGTGCTGTATCATTGGACCCGCAGGGCTCTCCAAGAATCTATGGGGAGCCCCTGGGCTGTTACCCTGTGTGCTAGACTGGGCAGCACAGGGCCTGCTCTAAGTGTGCAGGACTCTCAGAATCCAATCATGGCTGGGCATGAACCAGGTGGAAGTAATGCAGGACCCAATCTGGCCTGCAGACTGGCCCCATGCCATTCATCTGGCCTGTGGGGCCAAAACTGTTAGCACCACTTTCCTATTCTAAGAGGTTAGCAAGATATTTACTAGGGAAGACAACACTGTGCTTTGGCTAAAAAAAAGAAAAGTAAGGAAAAAAAAAGATGAGATACCCAATTTTTAAATGCAGCTGAAAGGAGTTTCAACATGTTACCTTGTAATGGCTCCATTCATCAAGGAAGTTTTATATTTGTATATATGACATTCTGGGTTGGATTATTAGAAAACAAGTGGATAGCTCTTCATTTTCACACATACGTGCTGTCTCTTCAAAATTCCTATGGCAGCTTTCTTTTCTCTATTCCAGCATGCCAGCTGTTTTGCTAAGATTAACTGCCACTAGGCTTGAATTCTTCTTTCAGTCTTTTGAATAATTTATTCATACTTCAATTAGAAGCCAGTAGCCTGTAGTACATGTGTATGTAACTGATAGTTTCAACTGTAAATACCTATTCAATTGTACAGTGCCAAACATGTTTTCAATAAGCAAAACAAGCACTCCTCAGTTGAAAGAGGAATCCTTGGCGCTGCACTCCTATAGAGGTCTATGAGTGTGCAAACTTAAATTCCTAAGTACAGAGACTGTTAGCAAGGAAAGAATTTCATGAGGAGGATCAGGTACAAACACAACAATGGTAAAAATATAAATATTGACTCCTGCTACAAGCATGTACCCCCACCACCACAAGTCCAAAGGAAATATCCTAGTTTGTGTGCCAGGTTCATCGGCAGATTAAAAAAAAGGGACTAAATAAATTCATGGATGACAAAACTATCAATAGCTATTGATAGAACACATGGAAATATTTCCTCTGGCATCTCTAAATCTATAATTGTGGATGCTGGGAAGGGTACTGAATAGGGGACAGATCACTCTAGAGATGTGTGGTTCTATACTCTCCCTCTAAAGTACCTAATCCTGCCACTGTTGGAGAGAGGATACTGGCTAGATAGACCAATTCTGACCCAGTAAGGTACTTAGCATGTTCTTATCAATACCTAGTCCCATATCACAGCTAGCATCTCAGCGTAGGGAACAAAGTGGAAAGGTTTTGAGGTCATTTTGACAGTTTTTGGAGGCCATAGAGCTCATTTTGAGTTTTTGTGCAAATGTTGGTTTCGAATCCAGACTTCCCTATGTTATAAACTGGAGTTTGAAATGGCAGAGAAGTTTGTTTGCTATTTTGAACACTCAAATCACAGGTAACCATGCATGGAAGTGTATTCACATGCTTCTGTATTGAAAAGTTACCCTCCCAGAGTACAAAAATCTTAACATGCTCGATAACTCATTCAAAGCCCTGGATGAAAGCAATTACAGCAATGCCAAGTATTTTTGTAATTGACGTAAATTTCATCAAGAAACATTTTTGTTACATACGAACAAGTGGGGAAGCTTTAGCACTTATTCAGCTTAATGGTACCAAATGCAACTAACTTCGTAAGGTAAGTGGTTAACTAGTACAACTGATGATTCCCAGCTGAGATGGGGGGTAGAATAATGAATAATGGAACAAAACAAATGAGAAAGGAAACGCCCACGCCAGGTTAAAGTACTTACAGATGCTGTCTGCTGCTGTGCAGCTGCAGCAGCAAATTTTGCCACATGGTTTATTATTGGAGAAAAATTTGTTGGTCCATATAGTTTTACTTGTGGAAGGCAGGCCCGATACGCTTCAACAATGCCTTGTATTCCTTTCAAAAACAAAACAAAACAAAACCCAACAACAATAAATGGCTTAAAGTCCTAACATGTAATATTAAATCCAGCTATTCCAACTCATTCAATCTTCCTGACATGTTTTTAGATAACTGTTTCTACTACCATAATGTCAGCTATTTAAAGTTAGATTTAAGAAAAAAAAGTGGTACGTTTTGGAGGAAGAGAGGTGAAGTGTTACTTTTGACCTTATGAGGAGACTAAAAGGTTGTCAAGATGGTCAGCTAACAGGTGAAAACTAGGTAACTGATTTAAAATGATTCTATGTTATTGAGAACAGGGGGCCCTGTTAAAAGACTAAGCACAGCCTGAATGGTCATTGAGAATCAGCTACCTTCTCACCATTAGCTTTGGTCCTCTTCAGGCCAGTAAGGCAGGAATAAATAAAGTCTTTGTCTATTTAACTTGAATCAAGCCCCTTAAAAAACACCTCCCAAATGTGTGCTAACCAATTAAGTATATTATTCATTCCCCTTCTCTTTCCATTTCTTTAAGACCACATTCTGATGGGTCATGTATTTCTTTTTCCCCAAATAGCCTTTTCTGCCCAATTTAATATCTATTGACTGCTGTGTTAATTGTACCAGTTTAACCACGGGTGGGCGGATGACAATAGGATGGGATTCAACACTGACAAGTGCAAGGTGATGCACCTGGGGAGGAAGAACCAGCACCATACCTACAGGTTGGGGAACTCCCTTCTTGTCAGTGCAGAGGCAGAAAAGGATCTTGGAGTCATCATTGATGCCAAGACGAACATGGGCCGACAGTGTGGGGATGCAGTCAGGAAGGCCAACTACACCTTGTCATGCATCCACAGATGCATCTCAAGCAGATCCAAGGAGGTGATACTCCCCCTCTATGCAGCATTGGTCAGGCCGCAGCTGGAGTACTGCGCCCAGATCTGGGCACCGCACTTCAAGAGGGATGTGGACAACACGGAGAGGGTCCAGAGGAGGGCCACTCGCATGATCAGGGGGCAGCAGGGAAGGCCTTATGAGGAGAGGCTACGGGACCCGAACCTATTCAGCCTCCACAAAAGAAGGCTGAGGGGGTGATCTATTGGCCTGTTACAAACTAGTCAGAGGGGACTAGCAGGCATTGGGGGAGTCCCTGTTCCCCCATGCATTACCAGGAGTGACTAGAAATAACAGTCACAAGCTGGCAGAGGGTAAATTCAGATTAGACATCAGGAAGCGCTACTTCACTATCAGGGCAGCTAGGATCTGGAACCAACTTCCAAGCAAAGGGGTGCTGGCTCCTACCCTGGGGGTCTTTAAGACAAGGCTAGACAAATCACCTTGCTGGGGTCGTTTGACCCCAGTACTCTTTCCTGACATGGCAGGGGGTTGGACTTGATGATCTGCTCAGGTCCCTGCCGACCCTACTAACTATGAAACTATGAAACCACAGTACCATGAGGCAATAAGCATCTGCCTCAACAGCACTGTGAGGGAATGAAAGCATGTCCCAATCCAAGTATGCCAGGTACTCTCTCTCATAAGTCAACTTATTTCCATTAATAAAGACTGACTTTAGCAGGCTGTGCACAGACTGTAACTTAGTCAAAACAAGGCCTTCTGCATATTTATTTCAAGAGTTTTATGCTAATTTGAGACTTACCATTGCAGAATGGATTTGAGGGGTTAAAATTTAATGGAAACTCATGTGACACCTGTCAACACATAAAAGAGATGTTCAGGTCTTATACATACCCAGTTCTTTACAGGCAGTTTTGTTTGCCTATGATGTGCACATAAACATTTGGTTACCTGAAAGGAAGGAGGAATCTGTGCACCAAATCCAAAGGCTGGAAACATCTTATCTCTGAAAAAATCAATTTAAGAAAAACTGAAATGATTGTTTTCTTTTAAAAGCTCTGCATAGTTCACAACACATTAGCTAATCAGCATCTCCTTTCATCCTGAACGTAGCTGTTTATTAGGAACCAACAGCCAAAGTTAATTTCCCTATGTAAAAGGTGTAAAAGCTAGAAGAAATGCTTTATTTCCAAATCAGCTAGAAAACTAACTTATTGAAAAACAAATCATGGGCATACAGAGCTGAAAAGCTCTGCTGGATTCTGTTTTACATAGGACAGAGGCAACTGCCACAAGGTCATTTTAGTCCTCAAAACTGTGGTGGCTTTGTTGACTTCAGCTCTACAGATCAGGGCTTGTAGAGACACGAAGGAACAGGGGGTACTCGAGCTGGAGGATTCTGGGTCCCATCAAGGCACTATCACCCAGGTCTATGAAAGAAGGGATAAACCTTCCAAACTCAGGCCATGGACAGGCGTTACATCTGTGTTGAGAGAAAAGCCCTTTCTCCCAGCACAAAAAGGGAACACAGCCATTCAAGGGATTTCTTTTCGAAGAGAACTGGGTCTTTAGCAAGAAAGTTAGATCAGATCCTACAAATGAAATCTTCCACCCAATCCATCTGGAATAGCCAACTGCTTCTTCTGGGTGCTGAAGACACCCAATATCCCAGTATTCTGCGCTCTCTCCCTCCCTCAAAGGAAACAGAAGGGAAAGCCAGAGGCGAGCCATCAGGAGGCTCTGCCTTAGGAAATTCCTCCTTCCTCTTTCCAAACATTGGATGGGCCTTCCCACCTCCACACTTCTCCAGATACAGAGCAGGGGGCAGTTGTGGTAAGGTTCTGTGAGTTGGGACTCCAGGAGCTGGACTACATGCAGGTGTTTAAAAGCAAACAGGAGTTGGGAGGCTCTCTCCAATATTACTCTCCATGCCTCTGGTTTTTCAAATACCTGTGTGCAGCGAACCTGTTTTTTAGTCCTGGGACTGCCCTGAGGCGATTGGTGGGATGGCAGCGGTGGGGAGGGAACATTCTCCTGCGGTCATCAGTGGCAACTGCTGTTTTTCAACTCCTGGGCTATTTTTGTAGTGGTAGGAATATTACAGTAACTCTTACTACTAGAATGAATGCCTGTCCATGACCTTAGTGTACTACTACAAGATCCTGCTCCTCCGTTCAGGGTCAGACTGATCACATTTGGCATCAGGAGGGAATTTGACTCTGCAGTCAGACCAGCAAGGATTGTTGAGATTTTGCATTTCTCTGTAGCTGGGGGCATTGTCCACTTTCTTGGATCCCTCAAGCATATGTTAACAATAGAGGTGTGTGAAATGGGCCATATTCAATTCGGATTCCGCTCATATCAGGGACAGTGATTGGATTTGTTGATTCAAATTACTGCCCCAGTTTGATTCAGCCAAA